ACCAGTGCCGCTCTAAAGGAGACTAACGGCAACGTGGACGAGCTCCTTCGACTGAAGATGGAGCTTGCCCGAGCGCAGAACAAAATCTCTCGCCTTGATCACGAACTGGCCCAGTCGCGCTCGGTCAAGCAAGAAGAACACATCGCTCCGGCTCCGCCTGCGGCTCGTTCGGGGGCATTCGGAGCTGAGAACGTCTGGTCTACCGACGACAACTCCTCGGATATCGGCGCCCCTTTCATCAACAGCTACAGTCGTCCCCGCCATTGGAGCAACAATAGAGCTCCTCTCTCCTTTGATGCGGCTGCTCCTATTTCCGACTCTGGTGGTGACTGGTATGGTGGCGGACGTGGCGGCTTCAACCAGGGCTATATGGATCCCGCTGGTCCGTACTCTATGGCGGATGGTTTTCGCAATGATCGTATGAGCCATGAACCCGAGATGTACTCTCGGCCCCCTAGCAGTCGCCGAAACAACCGGTTCGACAACAGCCGCTGGCCGTCTCCTCAGCCATACGGAGGAACCAACTTTGGACATAACTATGGCGGCTTCACTCCCTCTCCTGCTCCGTTCGACCCCATGGGTGGTCCTCCTGGTAGCGCTTCAGGCAATATGGGCTATCAAGGCTTCAACCAGCAGGGTCCAGGAAGTTCATTGTCTCCCCATGCAACTGAGTTCACCACTGGTGATGGATGGAAGAGCGAGGTACGTGACAATGCCAGACATGGACCTTGATGCAAAGTGCTAATGTTCCATCCCCAACAGGCTATTGCCACGGAGGGCCAGACGTACCTGCCAACTACTGAGCCTCTCAACTACCGCCGCTTGTTGGATCGGAATGTCAATTGCAACTGGAAGTACATTGTAGATAAGATTGTCTGCAACAATGACCAGCAGGCCTCCATCTTCCTGCAGCAGAAGCTCAAGGTTGGTACTCCAGACCAGAAGTACGAGATCGTGGAGGCAATCGTTGCCCAAGCGTATCCTCTCATGGTCAACCGTTTTGGCAACTTCCTTGTACAGCGTTGCTTCGAGCACGGCACTCCAGAGCAAGTTGTTAAGATCGCGGAAGCCATTCGCGGCAATACTCTCAATCTGTCCATGGATCCCTTTGGTTGCCATGTCGTTCAGAAGGCGTTCGACTCCGTCCCCGAGGACTACAAGGCTATCATGGTCCACGAACTTCTTCGCAGAATTCCCGAGACCGTTATTCATCGTTACGCCTGTCATGTCTGGCAGAAGCTCTTTGAGCTTCGATGGTCCGAGTCCCCGCCCCAGATCATGAAGTTCGTCAATGAGGCTTTGCGAGGCATGTGGCACGAAGTCGCTTTGGGCGAAACTGGCAGTCTGGTTGTCCAGAACATCTTCGAGAATTGTCTCGAGGAAGATAAGGTATGCTGACATTTTCCGACCCTCTTTTCTACATATGTGTCTAACTATGGATTTGTAGCGTCCCTGTATTGAGGAAGTCCTTGCCAACATTGACATTGTGGCTCACGGACAGTTCGGAAACTGGTGCATCCAGCACATCTGTGAGCATGGCGCTCCAGCGGACAGAAGCCGTGCTATCGATCATGTCATTCGCTACGCTGCCGAATACAGCACTGATCAGTACGCCTCCAAGGTTGTCGAGAAGTGCCTGAAGATTGGAGGGGGAGAGTTCCTCAGCCGCTATCTTGATCGGGTCTGTGAGGGTCGCGTTGATCGCCCTCGCATCCCCCTCGTTGACATTGCAAGCGACCAGTACGGCAATTATCTCATTCAGTACATCCTCACTCATGCGGGTCTGCAGCACCGTGAGGTTGTCGCCGCCCACATTCGCAAGCACATGGTCTCTCTTCGAGGCTCCAAGTTTGGATCTCGCGTGGGCATGCTTTGCACCAACCCCGCTGTTGCTACTCGTCCCGGCCCCGGAGTTGGTCCTGCCATGAACCGTATGGGTGCTGGTCCTCGTTACAGTGGCGGCGGCGGCTACCGCTAGACTTTGTCACCATCTTTTCATACTGTCGCCATCAACTTCTCAACTGTTCTCACTCTGCATCACTATAGGACCTCTTTCCCCTAATTCCCTGTCACCCCATTCGATTTCCCTCAACTTTGACAAAGTCGTTGCACCACCTCATTTGTCCGTGCTTACGAAACATCTTCCTCGGCCATTAATTTACAAATCAGCTGTCATCCTACGCTCGGCAGGTTATCACTTGTCTGAGTGCATTGGACACTTCATGGTTACGGATTTTGCGATATGGAGGTGCGTCACTGTGACCTCGAAACCCTAAGTGGGCGTTGGAGTTGCATCACGAAGCCCAGCCAGAATGCTCGCATCTATACATGGCGGTTCATCGACACATCCACATACCCCTTTGATACTCCTTTAGTCTCATCAAAATTCAAACTGGACAACCCGGAGGATGGCGAGGATAGACAACTAGGCAAGCATGGCATATCGGACCAAAAGTCAAAGACAATGATTGTATGTAGTTATGTATCACATTCCGGAGACTTTGGAGTGCGGCCTTGGTCCAGCTTGGACAGCATCTGTGGCAGTCCTCAACTGAGCATTAGGTAGCTCCCTAGAAATGATCCTTCTACAAGTAACTTGGTCCCCTCGATTATCTTATGCGCACTCGTAAATGGGATCTTCCCGTGTCGGGTTTGTAATGTTTTGCTTGACATTGTTAACTCTGTGGTAATCCATGAGCCTTGTATCCCTATCCCCTCTCCAGAACGCCATTCGTATTGCCTCCTGAATCCTACATGATTCTGATCATGCATCGTCTTACGCTTCTTTGCTTACAGACTCGGCCTCTACTGCAGGTGATACAGCGTCATCTAACGGTGGAAATTCGGAGTCGACTACAGATGGCTTCTCCACCGCCTCTGCAGTTGCGACATCCTTCTCCCACGGCTTCTTGGGTACCGCACGTTTCCCAAATGGTTTTACAGACTGCAAGTTCAGTAATAATCTTGAGAAGAAGAAAAGAGGAAGGAGAAACACTAGGGGAGATACTCACTGCGTCCCTAACGACGGTGTCTGGGATCTGTCTGATGCCGGGGATGGGAATCCCCTTTTGAATCATCTCCAGCATCTGCGCGAAACCCATTGGGTACGCTGGCTCGTCGCCTCCTTGGCCTGGAGCGCCCTCCTGCGGCTGCGCTTTGCGTTCGACGTAGAGGTCTGCTTTGGGGGCTGCTGCTTGCCACGAGGGCGTTGCTTCGTCTGCCGGGGTTGCGGAAGAGTCTGGTGTTGGGTCTGCGAGGGTGGTCTCGTTGGTGTTGAGGGTGTCGAGCTTGGATGTTAGTGTTGGGACGTCGTCTATTGATGGTTCTGTTGCGCCGCTGGCTGCGGGAGCTGTGGACGAGGAGGCTCCCTGTGTGCTGGTCGCACTGCTCGTCTTGTATTCTTCGGGCAGGACGTCGGGGGGTGTGTGGTCCGGGTGCTTCGCGAGCCAGTCCTTGTACTTTGCAAAGTCAATGGTCACGCCGATACGTTGGGCATAGTAGAATATCCGGGCGTGGATCGCGAGGTCGATGGGTGTGCCTTGCGGGTTTTCCGTGTTTGGATCGCCGAGGATCGCATAGAGGCCGGACTGGAGCACGTATCGTTAGCTCGAGATGATTGACGGGCTATATATTATCTATGATTCCAAGGTGAGACATACTGTGAACATCTTGTCTCTTTTCCAGGGGTATGTGTCAAAGGCCTTGAACATGCCGTCCTCATCTGTGATTGCGCGGATGCGCTCTGCGCCGGAGAGGGTCGCCATTGCGAATGACCCGGTTGTGTGATTAATGCTACTAGAGTCACCCAGACCTGAATTGTCTACAACGCACGAGACGAAGGTGTGAGAAAGTCACTCGAGTTGTGTGTTCAAGAATGCTGCTCGTCCTCGTTGGCCTGACGTCGTTGCCGAGGCTCAAAACTCACGGCAAAGATGTCGTTCGGTTTAAGCATCCCTCCCCGGGAGAGGGAAGCTCGGCGGGTTGGCGGGGCGAGAGCTTGACTTTCCAACGCCCTGATAAGATAAGCAAATGAATGTACCCCGCGAAACCGCGGCTCGGTGGGGCCAGGGCGGGAAGTTGGGGAGTTTGGGGTCGGGAGACCTTTGGGGAAGAAGACTTCTTGGCTTGTAGGAGTTTGTTCCGACATCCTTGCTTTTTCTTTCGGAACTTCCATCGGCCTAGATTCGGTTCACTCTTTGTTTTCTTGAGTCTGGTTTGGTGTACTGTTTGTATGCCAGGGGATAACAGATTGAAACCCTCTTTCTGATGGGTACATCTGACATGTGAAAAGCATTTTACAAGGACAAGTCTTCGTCAGCACAAAGAGACATCAACGCAACGACGGCACTGGGCATTCGCCTTCAAACTGACAGAGGTTTTGTACATCTCGATTGCTAGATTTCTTTTCTATCTCAAATATGTGTCACGGTTTGTCTACGGGCACGCTGACGATCATCAAGCGGCTGAACCTTCTACGGATATGTTTGTGTTATGTGGACGGGATGAAGACTATTGCGCAGCACTTTACTGGCCCCCCGTTTCGCACAAGTCCCAAAAATCATGAAAGAAACGTTCAAAGTCGCCAACAGTAAAACGGACAAGTGTAATCCATCAGACATGAAAAGTTTGTGTGTATAGCAAAGCTGCCCCTTCGGGTCCGCTGTTCCGCTGTACAGAGAGCCTCCATCTTACGAACGAGGTTCTAAGTATCTTGTTTTTGTGTAGCAATGTGGCTAGCCAAACGGGGCTGCCACTGGTTTGCATCATTTCCAATGGGAAACGAGCTGGTATGTTGTTGATAAGTCCGGGTAAAAGAGGAAAACGTCTAGAATGTCCATGGCGTAAGAAAAGATGCCACACTCAACCCACCCCCTGTGCTGAACGCCAGTAAAACAACACCAACGGTTGCTGGGATTTCCTAGAAGCAGTTGGTGGAATCCAATAAACCCTCCGATGCAAAAAAGCCGATGTCTCTTTTCGAACGCCACGTGATGATGCTTTTAGTTGTGCTGGAAAAGGACGCTGATCGACTCGCCGTGGTGAACACGACGGATAGCCTCCGCAAAGACCGGAGAGACTGCTAGATTTTAGCTTCGCTCCAGGACACGGTAGTATTCGAGAGCACTCACCGTCCAGAAACTCGAGTTTGGAGCAGGCGCGCATGTGGTCCTTTTGAGGAACGGTGTTGGTCACGACCATCTTGTCGATGGCGGAAGCGTTAATACGCGGAATGGCGTCACCACTGAGAATGCCGTGCGTCAAGAGAGCATAGATGTGAGTAGCACCCTCCTTCTTGAGCAACTTGGCAGCTCTCGTAATGGTGTTGCCGGTATCGATGAGGTCGTCAACGAGAATGCAGACCTTGTCCTTGACATCACCCACCAGCATCATGCTGGCATTGCGTTGCTCGGTGTACTTGGTCGGGCGTCGCTCCTGTAAAAGAAACATGAATCCTGTGTCTCCTCACACGGGGAGTAATGGCCTACCTTGTGGATCAGGGCGAAAGCCATGTCCAGCTCATCAGCGATGGCAGTGGCGCGCTTGGCTCCACCAGCATCGGGACTGATAACCACAGCATCCTTATAGTTGGGGATGTTCTGGCGGATGTACCTCATGAGGAGGGGCTTGCCGTACAAGTTATCGACCGGCACATCGAAGAAGCCCTGGTACTGAGGATCGTGGAGATCCATCCTGCAATCATTAGCATATGCTTCAGAAAGAAGCAATGAAGCGATGCAGGTATAAAGAGCATTTGGGAAGCTCCAGGGAGGGTTGTAGCAATGGCCTTTGTGTCACATAAAGCACCACGTAAAGGATGATCGGGAAGAAAACCTACGTAATCTACGTTTTGTTAGTTTGGCTGCGCGAATCTTTTGGCCCCCTTTGAACACTCTCTCGAGCTATTCTCAGGAGTTCTTTTCGGGGGTACATACCACATGGTCCGCACCAGCGCAAGCCAGGAGGTCAGCAACCAGTGTGCCAGCTTGGGCAACCCACTGCTTGTATCCAGGCTTGGACTGGAAGCCATCGATTCGGTTTTGTTGCTCGTTGTCGTGGTTGGTGTAGCTGACCTGAGAGGATACAGAGTCGTGGTGGCTACGACCGTTGCCATTGGTCTTGGAATGGTCGACGCCGTTCATACCATTAGATCGCTCCTCGTTGAGCTTGCTCTTAGCCAGCTTTGAGGCAATGCCATCAATGCCGTTGGGGAGGCCCATGCTGCGCGCAATACCAGGACCCGGGGTCGCAGGCACACTCTCAAAGGTGTAGTTCTTGGATGTCCCTGCTGCTGGCTTTGAGAGAGGTGCGCCGGCCTTCTTGTAGGGGACATCGGGTTGTCTCGAGTAGGGGAACAGAGGCATGACAGCCGTAACTCTCTTGGCGGAGCCCGTCTTGCAGGCAGAGATCATGATGCACAAGTCCATGAAGTTGTCATTGACATTGCCAGACGCAGTCTGGACGATAAAGACGTCCTTGCCGCGCACAGAGTCCTTGATCTCGCAGCGGCTCTCTCCAACAGAGAACTTTGACAGAATGCGCTCGCATGGGTTCAGCCCGAGGTTGTTGCAAACACTGTTGAGGAGCTCCGGGTGGGAGTTGCCTCCGAGAACAATGATATTGCGGACCATTGTGAAGATTTGCTGGTTGCTCAAGAAGCAATGGGTGAATGAAGAAGAGGAGAATAGTGGTCGGGCGAAACCGGCGATATTGGAGGCTGAACCTAGAACCGCTCGAGGGTATGACTAGGACCTGAGGAAGAGAAGAGGGCGTCGAGGCCGGGGCTGCAATATGTATTTCGCAGCTAGGGTATTCGAAGATGGTTGTGGAGAAAGATACCCCGGGTATTTTTTGAGGGTTCGAAGGTGTCGTGTGCGGGTTGGAGGATCGCGAGCGAAAGAGCCGGTGTCGGGTTTGCTGGAGGCGTCAAAAATCTGCTAGTGGGGTGCAGGGCGACGTCACAGGAACTGGAATGTGCCGAAGCCGAGGGTATGCGTAGAAGGGAATTGTATGGTAAAGATGCTCGAGAGCTGGAGAGCAATCAGCGGGGATGAGAGGGAAGGCCTCTAGAGATGCGATCACAACGGGAGCATGACGAACAAGCTCAAGAGAAGAGGGAGGAGGGAAAACCTGGTAGCGGGGGGGAATTCTGTCTGAAGCTGGGGTTGTCGAGAAGTTGTAAAGGAAAATCTCTGAGTGGATAAGTTTGTTTGGGATTGGCAGGAATCGGGGTCGGGTGCAGTCGCCGCCATGTGGACTTGGGGGTGGCAGGTGGAAATGTGTGGTGGTGGGGTAGAAAGAGAGATTACACAGGGCTCCCTCACAGGGTGGATGGGTGTAGAAGTGGCCATTTTAGGTTAGCACGGGTACCTTGTTGCGCCTGTGTGTATGTTCATGACTCCGATCTCTGGCAGTCTCGCAGAGATTTTGCGCCCCGACGACGTTCTAACCATGCACTGTATTCTTCCGGTCGTTGCCAGGCTGCCCAGACACGCCGAGCCTCACGCAGAGTGCCGTAGACCGGTGACGGAGATGCCTGAAGCGATGCGAGGGCGGTGACGGCGGCGGAAGACATAGGCGACCAGGTACGGAAGTACAGTGTCAACGACTGACTTCGTACAGGGAGGATTGAATTGCATTGGATTCGTGGAACGCTGCCCGGAATGCAGCAGTGACTCTTGTTCTAATTCTGACTGCGATATGCCGAATGAGGTGGACATTCTGCAATCCATCCCCTTGTCAAAAAGTCTGGCTGCCTCGTGATTGTACGGATAATGCAGACAGAGTATATGCCTCTTGAATGTACATCCAGAAAATAGCGCTCCTTGACGATGATAGTGAGGCGGGAAGGAGTACCTGGGGAATCTCACACCTCCCCTTACCTTATTAGTGTAGTACTGTACTACGTAGGTAGTTGTTCTAAGGTAGTGTAATAAGGAGTGAAATAACGCGAGTAACCGACCGGCTTTTATTAACGACAAGAGGTGCAGGTGGCAGGGCCGCAGGCAGGAGGAAGCGGCCACCGGCCAGCGGAGGCGCCTACTTCGAATCTGAAGCCGCCAACGCTCTTTCCCCCTCTCATTGCGCAATTCCAGATCCGGTACGTACTCTACGACAATTTAGCACATCGCAGAGTGGGGGACGGGGCACCGTGATTGGTGCCTTGGGCCGTGTCAATGCACCTGCTTTTCTGCTTGCCTTTTAATCTCCCTGCAGCTCGTTGCCAACCGTACCGGCCGTCGACCGCGGGGCACTTGGGTTGTCAAGAAGAATTTGCGGCAGCATCGTACCTTGCCTCCCATTGCTCGCCTAGATTCCGTACAGTCACGAGTGTAATTCTTTTTACGAGATTACACAGTACCTTTACCTCATCTGACTCTTCCGACTTCTCACAAGTCACAACTGGATTCAAGGCGACCCGATATTTCCTTGATAGACCCCAAGGCAGAGTCACCAGTCACTTACCCCTGTCAAATCAAACGTCGGCTTGTCCAAGGTTGTACTACTTGAACAGCCTATTCCTGTCCCTCTCAAAGAGCATCTGCGAGGTTCCGTTTTGAGTGACAGGTACATTGGCCTAGCCTCTTCACCTTGTACACCGACACGTCGATTTTCCGCAAACACCAAGCGCCTGCGCAGCTTGCATTTTCCGCACTCTTTTTGGCCGATACGCAATTGCCGCCGTTGCCACCTGGTATCAAACGATTTGCATCACACCTTCTCCTCTACCCGATAATCGCAACCTAGTCGTCCCCCGCGCCAAGCACGCAATCAAGATGAAGATCCTTGAGGCTCAGTCGGCAGTTTTGACCAACTATGAGGTCTATCAACATCTGAATGAGCGCAAGCTTGGTCAGAAGAAGCGTGAGCGTGGAGAACGCCGCGGTCCCGGCAACCTTGAACCGCTGGCAAGAGAGGTGAGTCTGACCACACCCAAGTTATACATGCAATGAAAATTGGGTATATGCTTCTGTGTAGTAAACTCATGGCTGACACATATGTAGCTCCTCCAGTATCTGCGGACAGCACCAAACCCGCTCAGCCAAGACCCCATTACATATCATCCAGACTGTATCACCCAGCTCCTGGGTAAGCTTCAGCCCTATGACTTGGCCAAGGGTGAGGTCATCATGATTCTGAACCTCCGCCCAGCATCCGTCGCCGCTCTGAACACCGTCATCGAAGAGATGCCTGAGCGCTTCGATGAGAACCAGCAGGAGGAGATGGTCAACATCATTGCTGAAGTGCTTGGCTCGTTCCCCCAGGAGGCAGGAGAGGAGGAAGGCGCTGAGGAAGCTGCGAACGGCGCTGCTTAGAAAGCCTTGCCGCATCACACTTCGCAACTCACTTTGGACGGCACCGAGTCCTCCAATGTGTCCTCTTCCTCCTGGAGTGGAGTATCAGGGTCGCCCTGACGAGGCAATGAATCTCACATGGCGACACAACCGCCCTCGCTCTGTCCTCCCTCGGCCTTCCGCGTCATGATTGCGGTTTTACCAATCTCCTCGAACGCCAGCTTGAGCAGTTCGCCCGTCACCGCGGAGCATTCCATGTACTTGTCTATGCGGATCTCCTGCGCCTGCTGGTATGCTTCTTGGGGATAGATGATCCCGTTGGGGTCGTCTTCGGATCGTAGGTCTCTCTTGAGACCCAGCATGAGGATGGGCAAGCGGTCGGGCCTGCGGAAGGACATTTTGACCTCTGGAAGCCACTGTATCGGATGTCAGACGGGATACAGAAACAGAAGAGAGTCATTCAGGAGAACATACATGTCTCCTCATGTTGATGAGACTCAGCCGCTGGCTTATGTCGTAACACAGTATAACAATATCCGGCTCGAGCAGCTTCCAGTTCTCGGGGCTATTTGTATCATAAAACTCTAGACGGTACGGTTTTCCAGAAAACTTGATCTCGAAAATAAAGGGTTGGTCAATATCTCTGAGCAATCTGATGGGCCCGGTGCCTTCGCCGGCGCTCAGTCGTCTATTTCAGGGGCACATCTCATTAGCATTGTGAGACCCCCATGGCATGATCTCGATAGAGGGCATACGGACGAGAGAAACGACGTCTTTCCACATTTCTCATCACCAACTAATAATATCTTGACTGATTCCTCTTCCATGATTGTAAAACCTTTGATGTTGAGCCTTTTGAAGGGAACGCAACGGCTGCTTCGGACGACTTCCGATGGGACGTCTAGATACGGCGATGTCTAGGGAACAAATGGCGCAGGGCCAGGCCTGGTGCGGACTCAGCCAAGACTCCAGCACCAGAAACACAGTGCCCATTTCGCGCCCACTGGTCCCGTCGCAACGGTTCGGCTTTCTCCATGAGGGAGGATGAGAGTGTGGAGTCGAGCTACAGCCACAGCACAAGCCACATTTTGTTTTCTACAGGGCGACGAAAAAAAGTTGATGCTAAGAAATAAAAAGAAATAAAAATTGGTTGTCACTCAACTTGCATGCGCCGGCCCCTCCAAAAGTGACTCTTCCAGGCCCAAAGGTACCCGCATGATGCCGGTCCGCGTCTAAACCACCACCACCCCTCCAAAAATTCCCATAAACTCACATGAGAGAGAGAGAAGGCATATGAAGCCCTTACATGAATTGTTTTGGGGTCTCTGTCTGCATTGTCCGCCAAGCCCGAGTCTGAACCTATCGAGGCAAGCTGGAGGTCTATTACACGGCTGCTCACAAGTTTTAGTCCGTCGAGGAGGGCATTATCACCACCACCATCTGCGTCGTTTCACTACTACTCACCAGCATCTCACTCATCCTTACCGACCATCCTCTATATTCGCGGCTAGGAGCTTCAGCACCGCTTCCGTCGCAAACATGGCCGATGTGAGCGGACGGTACGAGTCATGGGACCAGGCGCGTCTCATCTCCCGCATAAGACAGCTCGAGCATGAACTCGACAAGCGGGATGCGGCATCAAAGGCCTCCGGAGCCGGGTCCGGTGCCCCCAGCAGCACCACCAAGAACGGCACCGGTGCTGCAGTAGTAGCAGCAACAGACGGGGCCCCGCCGGTGAAGAAGAGAAAGAAGGAGGCCAAGCGGATCGACTCGTCACGGTACTCCACCCGCTTCATCGCGCTGAAGCTGGCGTACCTGGGCAAGCGGTACGGCGGATTCGAGTACGCCACCTCGGCGAGTCTGCCGACGATCGAGGGCGAGCTGTGGAACGCCCTGACAAAGTCGTGCCTCATCTTCCCCGAGGATCAGGATGTCGTCAACTTTGACTGCTGCGAGTACTCCAAGTGCGGGAGGACGGATCGCGGCGTAAGCGCGTTTGGACAGGTCATCGGGCTGAGGGTGCGGAGTAACAGACCAGTGCCCAAGAAGCAAGAGGATCCTGCACCAGCCGCTGAGACGGAAGGGGACGACACTCCGATGGAGGGCACGGAAAAGGTTGAGGAGGAACAGAAGGAGAAGAAGCCCGAAAGGGTCTGGGACGAGATCAACGACGAGATCCAGTACGTCAAGGTCCTCAACCGCCTCCTCCCCGACGACATCCGCATCATCGCCTGGTGCCCCTCCCCGCCGCCAGACTTCTCCGCCCGCTTCTCGTGCGAGGAGCGCCAGTACCGCTACTTCTTCACCCAGCCCGCCTTCACACCCACGGCGATCAC